GGCCCCGGCAGGGCGGGAGGGCCAGCCGCTGTCCCACGGTCGCTTCCCTTGTGGTTTAGCTCCCGGTGCTGAGCAGGGCGGACCTGGCCCCGTGAGAGCCCCGGGCAGGTGGGGAGACTGTGGGCAGCGCCTGCCTGTCCCCTCTGCGTCCCCTCTCCTTTGCTTCGCTCCTTCCTCCGTCTGCTCATGCCAAGCGCTGAGCTGGGGTGCTGGCGTTCACTCCCGCTTTTCCATCCTTCCACGCAGGAAAATCCAAGGAACCTCGGCCCTCCCGCCGTCTTTTTTTTTCTCTCCAAGAGCTGGTGATTTATTACGAACGAAATCAAATTATGTTTTATCGCCAGCCTGGGTAACAGAGGGCTGAAAGATTAAATTCCAGCGCGACAGCCGGTGGTGAGGGAAGGGACGGGAATCATATCTCTGTTTGGTTACAGCGCGTTACTATTGGGCACTGGGCTCCGGGAGACAAATCATGGTTTTCCTGAGGGAATCCTTCTTTAATTTATTTTTTTTTTAACCTGCCGCAGCCGTCGGGGTGACCGGAGTGAAATGGCGGCTGCCCGTACCCCAGGTGAACGAGCCCCGGGCTGCGGGGCCGTGTTTCTCTGCCCGCCCGGTGGATTTGGGAGAAACCCCCGAAGGCTGGGTTGGAAGAACAAGGCGAGAGATTTCTGTGCTGCTGCGAGGAGGCGGTGAGCCTCCTGCCGTCCTGGGGAATGAATTAGAATACATCTCGGGAATAAATTAGCCGGATGGCGAGGAGGGGAGATTTGTTTCCCTGGGAAAGGAGGCCGCCTCTTCGGCGAGGTAGAGACACCTCCAGGGCTTGGATTTCGGAGCTCTTTGAAGCCGCCCGGCTTGGTTCGTTCGCACGGCGCCGTTCGAGTTAGAGGGGTTACGGACGGAGAAGAAACTTAATGTCTCTGCCTTCCTCCGTGTCCATCCAGCCGTCTATCCCTGCTTCCATCCCGCTTCCAGCCGCCCGCTCCAGCAAAAGCCATTAGGAATGACAAAGCACCTTTTTTGTTTTAAAGATGGGTCCCCGGGAGCGGTAGGCAAATTGCTTGGTTCATGCATAATAAACCAGGCGTGGAAACGCACCGAGTAATAGGCTGCATTGGTAGGGAAACAAAATCGTTAAGCGAGCCTGTTTGCAGGGGAAAAAAAAAATATATATATATAGATAGATATTAAAAATAAAGCCAGGCTGGGTGCGGAGGGGCTGGCAAACTTCCCCTGCCCCTCCTGGCATCGGCTCTGGCTAAAAGCTTTGGTGAAATGGGGGCACGGCGCGCGTCCTGCTGCCCCCCCGGC